AAAAAAAGTACCGAAAGATTTTTTTATTTCATTCAAATTTCATTTATAAATAAGAATAGATTCTTCTATTCTGTTCTATAATAAAGAAGATTATATTATATATATTTAAATTAGATAAAGAAAGATATATAGATATAGAAAATTTTGAAATCTATATATTTAATTCTATAATAAGATGAAGATAAGTGATAGATATTATTATAGGCACCCATCTTTATAAGAAAATTTAAGATTAGAAATTAATCATTTTACAAGATTCAAAGACTTAATACAGAATAGCAAGCAAGACCTACGAGATTTTTCGAATTTTGCGATAAGAATTGAAATATTCAAATTAAATCATTTTGCAGATTCATAGATTTAAAATCTATATAATTTAAGATTCAGAATCTTATAATGCTATTTTATAAGATTTTCATTTTTATATTATAATTTAAGGTTAAGAACAGATGATATATTGAAATTTCAGAGATAAAAGAAAGCTAATATTTAATATAACTTAAGATTTAAAAATCTATAATTTCTTCAATATCTAGATTAAAATATATCTTCTATAATTTTCATTCGTTTCCATCCTAAATTTCCATCTCATCTTCATATCTTATATATTCTCCCATCCCCCCATGCGTATATAAGCTTATCTATTATTTATGAAATATTAATATCTATTCTTTAATTTTTCGAAAATTAGAAATTATAGAATCGATCAAATATTTTTATAATTTTTTATGAAATCAAATTTTAATTAAAAATTTTGTAGAAATTAGAATATTTATAAATATTTCAAAAAAGTTATATAAGAAAATTCAGATATTTTATTCTTATGATATTAAAAATGAAAAATAATTAAAATTAAATTGGAATTATTAAAAATATATTAAAAATTTTTCTTTTCATATTTAAATCTTTTTTAAAAAATTTTATTCCTAAAAAAATCAATGAATTAAATAAAAAATCGAAATTAAAATTAAAATTATAAGATTAATTTTATAGATCTTTTCAGATTGTATTTTTTTCCAAAGAAAAATTATTCTATTTATCATTCTAATTATAATAATGAGAATTCCATTCTATTATATTAAATTTATGAATTTAATTTATAATTCATCGTAATTCTTATAAGATCTAATAAATATGTATAAATATATAAATAAATAAATATATATATATATATATAATTTTCATAATTTTGTACTCAATTGAAATGATGAAAAATATTATTTTAATAGAAAATATCGACAAAGGCTTTCAAATATCTTCATCAAAAACAATATCCAATATATCCGGGGCTAGTATTTTTTTAAAGCAAAACCAATGCATGTGAAAAATTGTATTTGGTTAGAATGCTCCGCATAATTTTTAAAAAACGTTTTGGTGAAGAGCTCATCGATATTAGCGCTTAAAGCTTCTGAACATGTTGTAGATGCGAAATTTCCCTAATGCTTAGGGGCAGGAGCTTTCGACCGGTTCGTCGTCCGTCATGGACCGTCGTCCGCCATGGCACCTGTCGTCCATCGTCGCGTCGTCTCGTATCGTCGTGCGTCGTCGTGTCGTAAGTCCTCATATTGTCGTCCGTCGTCGTGCCGTCCGTCGTTGTCTCGTCTGGCAGTGTGTCGTCGGCATCTCGTCCGTCGTATCTTCTGTCGTGGTGTCTGGCCGGTCTTCTATCATTTTGTCGTTCGGCAGCGTATCATCTGAGGTCGTCATCCGTCGTCGTGTCGTCCGTCATCGTGACGTCTATCGGTATGATATCTATCGATCTATCGTGTCGTCGCTCGTATCATCCAGCATTGTGATATTTACCTTTACATCGTCGATCTTGATATCGTCTATCATTCGTTAATTTGTCGTCGTCTCGTCTGCTGTCTTGTCATCTATCTTCGTTATCTGAGAACATCCTATTGTAAGAAATTCTGCTTTGGTGCTTGCTTGCATTTGCTTGCAGTAGGCATATGTAGCCATGCATCCAGCGCACACGGGGAGGGGTCAGGAATCTGACCTTTCTCTTTTGCACAATGCTCAGCGACTGGCCAGCATCTTACGCCTGAAAACCAAAACCATAGCTGCCATAGAAGCCAAGACCAAAGTACCGGTAGCCAGCGCGGTTGAATCGATGCTCCTGCAGTGGAAAGGCCATCGCCCTGGAAGCGCACCATGGAGTTGTTTGAACTCCTGCACAGCCACAACTTTGCGGGCCACTTGATCAATCAATGCATTGCGGAACTTCCCTCTGGGGTCGTGGTGCAGCACAAGGGCCCAGAACGCCGCGCAATCTCGGTGGGCGGCGGGACCACAAAAGCGCTCGAGGGTGCAGCCACTGACCGTGAAAAGCTTGCCCCAATGGGGTCGAGAACCCCATGGTTTCAAGGCTCTCTCTATGGCATTCACAGTCATGGCCACAGTCTGCATGTTCTTCGGAAAGCCAAAGTGCAGGCAAGCAAAGAGGTCCTGCGCCAACTCGCAGCACATTCAGAGTCTAGCCTTTCATTTGGGGCACATGTTTCGAAACGCTACTTGCCTGAGTTCCAAGGCTCACCTCGAGGTCGTTTTCTCGACTTGTAGCCACGCAGAGGCTCGAGCGGTTTGAGGTCATCGATTCATTGATTCAGTCAAAAGAAACTTGGCAAAAACTGCCACAAAAGTTGAAAGGCAAAAGTGTAGACTCGCATCAGCAAAACAACACTTCAACAGCCCTTGTAAAACGAGTATACAGACATATACCTTTGAGCCTTTACGTATATCTTTCAGAGTTTCGAGATCTTCTATTTAATTTAGTGCGGGGGAATGGTAACTCGTCTCATCCTTCTCGTCAGTGAGGAAACGGAAGTTGCAAGGACTGAGGGCCAAGTGATCGCCCTTGACAACCCGTACCTCAATGTGCGGCAAGTGCCGAGCCGCGTCTGGAATCGCCTGCAAGGCTTCAATGGCTTGCTGCACTTCACTCAAAGGAATGAAGAATTCTGCTTGAACAGTTTCCCTGTTGGGGAGCGACTGACCAATGCCGAAGAATGGCAGCACGTCCAGCCATGGACCAGTCATCTGTGTTTGCACTGGGTCATTGGTCTCGGACACTCTGACCGGAATGGCGCGCAACATGCCGCCAACATCAAGCTCCTCTGTTGGCGTCATGTCTTCAATGCGAAACCGGAGCCATGCCATAACTTCTGCACGTCCCAAGTCAATCCAGAAACTGCTGCTCTCCACATGTTCTACCACCTCTCGCGCCATAGGCAAAAACTTCTGTAGTTGAATGTGTTCGTAGACGCGCTGGTGCAAACTGTAGGATGGCACACACCTCAGGGTCAATCGAATAACAATGCCGAGCAAGCCCACGTGCAAGAAAAAACGGGGATCACGGATCGTCACTACTTCCCCTGAAGCAGTCATGACATCCATCTCATTGACCAGTGTGGCCATCACAGAGATGGAAGCACCGGAGCCATGCGTGCCAGTAAGAACAGCTCCTGCTATGGTGATGCTCATCAAGGATGGCATAGACTCCAAAGCCAGGTTCTGCTTCTGCAAGGTAGTGGCCAGCTGGCCAAGGCTGCAGCCGGCCTCCACAACACACGTTCCTGAACGATCTCCCTCAGTGGAAGGTTGGACAGACAATACTTTGTTAAAACCATGTGTCAAATCCAGAAGTATCGTCCCAGAGGTCAAACCTTCTGTCGGTGGAGCGGCGGGGAAGTGAAAGGAATGGCCAGAGCCCACGACAAATACTCGCGAGGCCCCCTTTACACAGCGTTCAAGCTCTTCAAGAGTTGTTGGCTTTTGTACAGCTCCAGTCCACTGCACTGTTTGTGCCCAGTTACTCCATGGCGGCGCTGCCATGTTGCGCTTTGCGTCGTGCTCAGCCTATTCTCGTCCGTACACTCTCTAAAGTGTCTCCGGAGGCTTGATTGAGTTCTACCGCACGAAGGTTGATTCGAGCGTGCCTACGGCTTTCCAAATTATTTTCTTGGAGCCCCCCAAAGCACTTCTTTTCTGCGGGGTGCATAGTTTGCGCTGTTGTATGGTACCAACCATCAACAAAAGGGCCCCATTTGAAGGTCCAGGTAAACGTTTTGAGCACTGTGCCCTCCATGCTGCTGTCTTCTGGCAGGTCGAGCAGCTCCATCCCCATATTCTTCTCAGAGACCCTTGCTTCTTCACAGCCTCCGGGATAAAGAAACAATGACACAACAACAACACGAACGGTAATGCTCATAAGGGAAAACAGACAAGCAAAACAACAACAACAAAAGCACATCTGCACCAAAACGCTGAACCCTGCAAGCCCGCTTGGGTTGTGGGGGTTGAGGGAGCCCTAGAGGCTTGGGGGGATTAAGGGACCATGTAGACAGGCCCTTACAGACAGGGGCCCGTTGCCAAAGCTATCGGATGCTATGGGCCCTCATCGCGCCCTTCTGACACTACATCCTCATTTAGCTCTGGAAAGGAATGGTTTTCGGTAGTTTTAGAAACAGACCATACAGTGCTTCGCTGACTCTGTCCTGGCAACCCCAGCTACATTGAAAACCGCGTAGGAGGGGGGGCAAAGGGGTTCAGGGTTCGGGGTTTCGGATACAGCTTTTGTGAACTAGGCGCATGAGTAGACCCAACGCACAAATTCTCACCCGTCTCCAAAAACGCCGAGCGGAACTGGACGTCCTTAGAGTTTAGGGTTTCGGGCTTAAGGTTTCGACTCACACACCCGCGCGAGTCAGGCATGCCTTCGCGACGTCCGAGCTTGCTACCCTAGCAGCTGAGACGCGGCTCGCATTCGAAGCACGTTATTGACAAAGAGAACCAATGTCTCAACCGCAAAAGGAACACCAGGCTGAACAATCAACCAACCCCCGACGCACTAACGAACGTAGCTCGAATCTCACCTCTCTAGGCCGCTATGAGCGGAAGAGGTCGCAACAAAATGCTACCATAATGGCTATTTAGAAAAGCACCAAACAAGGTCTGAAGAACCTGATGTATCGTATTTCAGGGAGAGTGCGCCACTTCAAGCATCTGCAGTATTCCATCAAATCTCGACATGAGGAGTCTCTTGCGATTTTGGACCGCGATGATCTCTGCGATGCAGAGCCGGAGGATGCACATCTTGATGTCAGGAAGACTTTGCGGGAGTTCAACAAGCTCTGCCGGACTCACAGGGGCTTCCTAGAGAGCACACTGCTAACAGCAACAAGCGGGATATCCTGTTGCCCCCACTTCGCATTGTAGGGTTCATGCAGTTCCGTCGAGGCAAAGGTGACAAAAAGTGCAATTTGCTTTTCCACGATCCCAGCCATGGTCTGCAACAACGGTGAAGCATGTCTTGCTGGAGACCACCTGCTTCGCCATGACGCATGCAGCGCAGAGCGTCCTCAAGCTGCCTACCGAGCCTGAATCATTCTGACTCAGTCCCTGCTGGTCCTTGTAGGACCATCATGTAAACAACGAGCAAAGACAGACAAATCTTGCGAATCACCTCAGGCCAGCTCTTGATCGCAGCCGCTGCTGCAGCAGCGAAAATGCAGTTTTGCTTTCACATGCCAAGTAGCAGATCCACAACATCTGGAAAGTGTTTTTTATGAGCTGGGGCCACGTATTGTACTTTCGATGAGAAAAACTGGGCAGCAACCACTTCCTTTTCTCAACGTGAAGCATGAAACCTTCAATCGGGAGGGAAGCTGCTTCTTCAAATTTCCAATCTCTTGCTCCAAGTGATTCTGCTCTGCAATTCCTTTTTCCAATTGTTCCAACGTCTCATCGGCCTCTGACTGGAGAAGGCTGCCAAATACCACGTCCCTGATTTACTGGAGCGCTGTGGGTCGCTGTAGTTCAGGAAATGCTTCAGCACGGTCATGTTTTTCCTTGTCCAAGAATGCTCCACTGTTTCACATTGAACCTTCCTAACTCCGCACAGTAGCTGTTGCATGGCATCGGTGGCAGAAACTCTTGCGTAGTCCAAGTAAACAACGCGTTCCCCGAAGCCGAGTAAAAACTCTTTTGCTTGGCTGTTCACGAGAAGGGAACTATTTCCAAACGGCTTGGGATTGAGCTAGCTGTGCAAAAAACGAGCTAGCCAAGCAGTGCATAATGCATGGTACAGACAGGGCTGACACGAATGCTGGACCAAATCTCCAACAGCTGTGCCTGCATTTAATCCCGATCACACAGACAGATTTCGGCCACGCCCCAAGACTTTTCTGACAAGCGCAGCGGAGGACTCACGGTCTGCTAGGTTTGAGCTTTGAATAGCAAGAGCTTACGCTACGCCGCTACACCATAAAATGCTGAATTGCCTCAGTTGAATCAAAGTCTACCATCTCACAGATATCAACGCAAAACCTGATCATGCCGCATCGATGTCGTGACAAGCTTCTGTCGAAGTCCCTGGCTCGTGCGGCTTGGTAGAAGTGGTGCAGGAGCGATGCTCACAGATCCCTTGGGGCACACGCTGACGGTTGGCGAAAAGATCTGTATCTGCTTCGCGCTGCAGTATCAAGCGTTGAGTAACTGTCGCCGACTTACGGAGGCCGAGGAGTCAACTCCTCAAAGCTTGAAGGCACGCATGCGCCCTCCTCGGTGGGTGAAGCCACTGCCGAGCGCAGCAGAGTCTCATCAGCCATAAACTGGTCCACAAAGGCACGCTTTGTGTCTCCAGCGGGTCCAGCTTGTGCATGTCCCAGAGCGTACCCGTTCTTCAGAAAGTTCACTTCCAGCAGCCAGGCGGAAAGTCTGTCGTCGATGAGGAAGTCAAACCCAAAGCGACGCACTTTCCTGCCAGTGGCGCTTCGGTTTCCTGTCACTTCTGGCGCGTCGTCTAGTGGCAGCAGGGAGCATGGAGGCAGTGCGAGGGCATGGAACAAGCATGACACGATTCTCCGCACCTGAGGAAGTATGACTTCATTAAGCGATCCAGCTTGCTCTATTTGCAGGTGCCTGTCCAGATCCTCTAAAGGCCAGCGTCTCTGGCTATCGTTGCCGTTGCCTTGGCGCAAGTTCGTAATATGACTCAACGGGTTCAACTCCTCGGTGTATGCACGAAGAGCCACACTTATGAAGCCATGCCTGTATAACCAGATTCGGCAAGGTAGCCGCAGGGTTGCCAAGACGATCATGCGCAAGTTATATTTCAAAGTGGGAGCTGGTGGCATGGGACCGAGAGGTTGAGCGGAATCATTCTCTCTGAAATCCAGAACTTGTCTGTCAAGAAGGTGGGGGCACTCTATAAGCTTCTGCAAGACACAGCCTTGTGTCAGATCTTTGCCTGCTTTCTGCCCCCCTCGTCCCACGCATGCGACCCAGTCCAGTAACTCTACAGGCCTCGCAGGCAGTCGATCCATGAGCAGAATGCCTCGCCCGAATTGACCGCAGCTCGGCTTCAAAGCCCAGACATTGTGCCGAAGGAGTGGGAGCTGCAACTCGATTGGACATCTTTCAATTAGCGCTCTGCATTCGCGACGAATGTCGTCTTGACTTCGGGAAGCAGGGCTGCGAGTGTCGTAAGATCGAATCAACGCCCATTCTTCGTCAGCGATTGCCAGATTCACGTGCCACCGATCTACTGGCAAACGGATTGCTTGCCCGACCACAAGAAGAGCTGCGGTCACGGCTTCCAAACTGGACGAGGCATGAACCGGTCCGGGTTCCCACTCAATGTCTGGAAGCTCACGACCCCAGAGACCCTCGGGAGTGCAGCTCGTGCATGCGGTCGGATGAGGGCAAGGCTCAGCTACCGTCAGCCCCGCGAAGTGCTGGAGGACGGCCAGAGCACGAGAGACTTTAAAGTCAAGGATGAAAGCCTCAATCTCCTCGTCCATGCAATTCCCCGTTTGCAGTACATAACTTCGAGGTGCAAGGGACAGCTCTGCGCCTCCTAGCTTTCTCAGGTTCAAAGCCAGCAAGTGCTTGAGATGAATCTCAGATACACATCCGGGGCCTGCATCGTGACCTCGCGCCTTCTCCAAGCTCATCCGTTGCCTCCGCGAGGAATCCCGTCGGTGGGTGCTCTCGAGGTCACCGTTAGGTGCGAGGCGAAGCGATTTCAAGCAGCTGCCACAGGCACAGAGTGCTACATTGTGCGGTTCCTGGACACGTACAACTTCCGATGTTGGGCACAAGTACAACTGTGCATGTCAGTGACAACATTTTCAACGGTCCGAACCCGTCCCAACTGAGCACGCACAAAGTGTGAATAGGACGCTGGAGCAAAAGGACTTCTCTACTGCGGGATTGGCAGGTCATGGCAAATCTCCATTACCTTGTGTGACTTGAGTACAAAGTGTGCCCGATGGTACAAAGACATCAGCACGCCTCAGGTCGAATCGCAACGCGCGCACAAAAAGCTGTCAATGCAGGAGTTTGCACGAACCGCTCCAGACTTTTGCACAATAATTTGGCTCGCTTCTACACCGGTGCTGTCAGAGCATGGCGTCGGCGTTGTTGTCATTCTTGCTCAATGTGTCGGCTGAAATTGTATCGCCTGCAGCAGCTCAAGTTGAGTCTAGTTCTAGTGCCCGCAGATTTTTCTTACGGCCCCTTAGCACCACAGACCCGATCTTGTGCCTTTTCTTGCAGCAGCAATGCTGCCATCGCGTTCCCGACCATCTCCCCGCTCAAGGTGACCTGTTCAGGGGCGGTGATGACATGTCGCCAACGCAGCACAGCAAAGGTCCTCCACAGCTCAGCCGAGCCTGCAGCATGCCGGCAGGACCTTCGTCGCCGACGTCAATTCTTGAGCCGGACCTGGCTGCATGCTCCGCATGGTGCATCTGCAGAAAACAGGATCGAACCACTGCGCCTTTGGGCGACTTCGCTCATGAGGCCCTGGGGTGCCAGCACATTGAGTACCTGGCATGCGGAGAACATGCCGGCCTCGACCGATGTGCACAACATCACTCTGCTCCTGCTCGCCGATTCAACACGCAAGAGCGAGAAGGGCACAACGTCCTTGTTTATCAGAATTGTGAGCTGGGCGTTGTTGATGCCAGATGCCTTCCAGGAAAGTTGGGTGTCAGGAATGCTCAACTCCCAGCGCCACAGCCATCACCTGGAAAACCTAAAGCTGAAGCAACTGTGCCTGCAGTGCTGCCATGAAGGCCTCTTCACTGCCACTTCTTGCCTTCTCGCCTAGCTTCAATGGTCGGAGGGCATCGGCCAAGGCTTCGGGGCTTTGTGGTGGGCACCAATCGAGGGAGTTAAGGTGTCGTATTGTACTCATTTTTCCCTCCCCCATGGCACGGGACGGGTGGAACGAGTGGATTCAGCATCTCACTGCTCGTTCCGTCAGCCGAGACAAACCCTCTTCCCGTAGATTCTTCCTGCCTTTGTGAGGGTGGAGAGTATCGACGGCCCGAGAAAGTCTTGGGGCGCCGTTTGCGCACTTCTAGCTTTCACGATTGGCAGCCCAAGCAGTTGCCAACCACGTTCACACCTCCATACACCTCCCTTCGGACACTGAAAGCAATCATCATCATCATCATCACACGCCAACTCATGCAAGATATCGAGGTGGCAACGACAGGACAGCTTCGAAATGCTTCCTGTCAAAATCTGCTTCCCACAGATACAAACTTCGGCTTTGCCATCCTCAGTAGCGGCTAAATGCCTGGATGACCCAGATCGCAATTATCTGATTATCTTAAGACTTTGCCCTGGCAGCGACTTGTACATGCCCTACTTTCTGGAGCCCGCCTGGCGAGCGAGCAGCATTTCCATTGAGTCCAGCCGAACTCGCGGTCGTTGTTGGAGCAGTGTTGCTCCACGGTGTCGCATCAGCCTTTGCTGCTGTCGGTGCCGGCGTGGCTGGCGTCGGGGCAGGCGCAGCCGGCTGCGCCGGCATGTAGCCATCCATGGGTCGCTCTGCGCCTGCATGCAAAGTCAAGGACACGAGATACAGTCCTGGGAATGTGCTCTGGGTCTCTTCTGCTCTTTTTCTAGTTTGGGCTTCTAATTCTCCATCCTTTGGTGGGACGACTCGATCGATTGATATGCTAAACGTAACACTGCCTCGCTTTGCATGTTTGGAGGGACACCCCCAAGAGTCTTTGACAGGTGATCAACGAGGGCCACGTAGGTTGCGACAGGGTTTACTCATTGGAGAGTTTGTCACGATCGTGGACCTTTTGACACGAGCTCTGATCTTGCGTTGAGAGACCATACCTGTGACTACAACATTTGAGCACCCTGCCCGCTACCAGCAAGAACAGCAGACAAAAATATGCACCTCGACCAAACTTTCCCTTGCGAGAGATCCACACGTTCCGGCATGGACGGTGGAGGTCATTTAACCAGTCATTGAACCTGGAGGAATGAGTGTCAGTTTAGTTGCCAGCGTTCTCGATTTGCTGCAACCGTCTACTGGTCTCAACGGCGGTGTCATTTCGTTGATGTACCCATGCAACAACCGTGATTGTGCAACGTTGCGTAGTCCGTCCGCATTTTGGCCGATGGTGCATAGACCCCCTGGAGTGTAGGATCACGAATACCGGGAAGATTGGGATCAAGGCACCTCCCTGTCTCGAGCTTCTTTGCCCTAGCCCCTGTCCAGCGCATCCATGTCGTCTGGCTTCGTACTTTATACTGGGGGCTGTGTCACTTCGAAATGCTTCCCTGATGGATGCTGGCCCCTATGTCGCCCGTGCCCCCCTCCCCTCCGCTTCCTTCTCTTTGCTTCTCACTCTTGCTCTCTCTCCAACCTGCACAAGCATTGCATACTGTAGCGGCGGCCTAAACCAGCAGCCGCTTGAAACTGGAAGTCTTTCTGAACATCCAGCTTCCCACGATCCACCATGTCCTGGGACCAGACGTCTCTATGTGGAACTGAAACGACAGATTTGTGCAACTTCAAGTTGCGGCAAGTGGGGCTGTACCAAAGCTGCTGAAACCAGTGTTTGACACGAAGTCGCTGACGTGGTGAGGCAAAGTATTACTGCAGCAACGGCAAGTTACTCGTCTGGACTACGCGCGCGCGCACGGGCGTGACTTTCTGAGACGTGTCACGAAAGCTTTGACGTGCTTCGCTACCCGTGGTGACGTCGCACATCCAACCGTCCGAGTCCCACGAACCCGCTGCAGCGGTGTCCCTTCTCACGTTCACGTCCTTCTTATGCGCAAGAGTCTGAAGCCACAGAAGCCAACACATGCGCAATTGGAGCACACAAACATATGGTAACTGGCATGCACGGGATAAGTTGCGTGGTACACACGCAAACAAGGCGGTCTTTCTTTGCATGCTCTTCTGCATGTGCAATTGTTGTGGCCGGACGCGCTTCGCTTTGGTTGCGATCACCAGCCGGGGCCGGAGAATGTGGCAGCCATTCATTCCTCTCCCGAAACCTCCCATCAACTTCTCGAAACTATGCACGAGCTAGTAGGGGATAACTTCGGCCCAACAGATGTGGAAATATTGGTGTCTGGTGTCTTTTTACCGGGCAGCTCGAAAGCTGACGACAGTGTGCCAAGAACGTCCACACTACGGGCCCGGCACTTCTTTAGCGTGTTTTTGAATCAATGGACTCAGTGGATGCCAGCACACATTGTAAAATACCTGTCAGCCAAGAGGCAGGAGAAGTGTTTGGTAGGACGGGGCGGATTGTGCTGAAAAAAAGATTGCGCGGAATTGAATGAAGCCTGAAAGTATTTCAACTATCTGGACTTGCTCCAACAGAGCGTACTGGCTTGCCCAATCGATGTGCCACAGTGGTTAGATGAGCTTGGCTTTCGGAGTGTTTCCTGATCTGCACATGTCTCATCCGCCCCTGCAGCCTACGGATACTCGAGAGGAGACTCACAGAGTTCGATGTGCACATACGCTGCAAATCGGCATGCTGTCCTGGAGCACGCTGTTGATGCCGGAAACAGCAGAAACTACCTCTGCAAGAGTGGTGGAAAGGTGAACAGCAGCATGACTTCAGAAGCCATGCCAGACCTCTTATCCAATTAACGTAAGTGTTCGTGCCTGTTCGACAGTGCCGTTGACGCTAATGGGCTGGTCAGGCATGCCAATTATTGCCTGGCAGGTCGCGCACTGCTCTGCATGCAGGAACCCGGGGCCGATCCGGCCTCCCGGCCCACGTTGATTTCTGCACCTTCGAGCAATAGCCGTGAGACTGTAATCGTATGCCATCGGAAAATCATGGGCGGACACCTGACTGTTCCATGATTGACTTGATTTGAGCCCCCTTGGAGCCAATGACAACCTCAGCGAGCACAAGCACAGAAAGTTCCAGCTCTCACGAGCAACATCGAGCAACGCTTCAGCTCGCGGCTGGCGCAGAGACCTGCGGGATGATGATAACGAAAACCCCCGGCTCCATTTCTTCAACCTCTGACCAACATGGATACAGTGTCGCTGACGCCTCTTGCTTCATGCCCCCACTTCAAGTGCGGGACCCCCTGCATTTGTCGCAGTTTCCGAACGACCTGTGCAAGTGCCACGAGCTAGCCCCACTTCATTCGTAAGCCGAAGATGCAAGTAACCAACGCTGTCACAATGCCTCTCTGCATGCCGCATCCTTGGACCCTCGGGTACCTGAGAGCATCTGGAAGCGGAGAGGGCGTGAGGAAAACTCTACCCGTAGGTTCTGTCCGAGGCCCCGGCCACCTATAGTCACGATTTTATCGGCTAGCGTCTTGGGAGTGTCACCCTCCTTGGAGTACGTCAGGCACTGGAAGAACCAAAACAACTGCTTCGGTATCCGCGTCAGAAGCCTAAATCGAACCACTCGGCGTGAGGCCTTGGAGATAGAGATGGAGGCACCAGAGGCATCACCCACTTGCCTGAAGGCAGTACTGATGTGTTTGAAGTGGGATTCAGGCAGTGATTGAGAGCGTGACCGGATGTTCGCGCCGCCTTTGCCGATGAGGAACGACCTGCAGGAACGGCTAAGCGGGTATGGACTTGCGTCTCTCACTCGTGCCCAAGATTCTTGCACTGCATCTGCTGGAACCAAACATCGGTATGGCACCTCCGTCCATGTGAGCAGTCGGTCTTCGGTCCAAGAGAGAATCAGAGGGTCCCTTGTTCGAAGCTCTGCAAGCAGCTTACAAACTCAGGATCTGCGCCAACCTGTGGTGCGCGGTCCATGGCATGCGCTGCAAACAATGGCGGCACAAGTAGTTGTCACAGATGAAAGATAGTAACACGTGCGCTATTTGCTGGAAGAAACAGAACTTCAGCATCAATTCTGATATCACTCCTCGAAGCCTCGCAGCTGCCCAAAATGAAGCATGCCAACACAAAGCAGTGCAGTCCACCAAACACTTGGTATGACTGATTACAAGTGGAATCGAAGCCCGCGTAACAGGCTTCCAACATTGGCGTCTTCTCGTGGGTTTTGACACCCTGAGAACACACACATCATTCCTCCGAAGCAAGTGCTGCCTACGTCACATTGCACAACGAGCAGCCTCTGGTTCAAAGATGGGGAGTGAGACAGGAATGGGCAGAAAGTGTGACACTTGGAATGGGAACGGCTGGGTCGGGGAGATTCTGAGGCGTTGAGAGGATCCAACAATGCATCCCGCCGATTCTGAGGTTTGTTGAGATCACATGAGATAGCCAGTCTGCTCCACATGCTCCGCCGTCTCACTTCAAGCAAGTACTAGCAGCTTTCGATCTTGCCTTCGACACCGCCGAGGCGGGCCTCGGACCTCGTCTGTTGCTGTTGGAAAGCGAAGCTTTCGACTTTGTGGCCACTCTACCTTGAGGGCTTTATGCCTGGTCGTGCTCCCTCGAGTTCACTTCCTACTTCCTACCTCCAGCTGTCCGAATCATCCATGCACGAGCTTCTGAGTCATGAGCGGTGACCGATGGATTTCGGGTTCTGAAGGACTTCAAGGTGCGTGCAGGCACGTGGGACTTGACAACGCAGACGTCAGATTGCACCTAAGCCCCCAAGCCTTACAGACCCTTACAGACAGTGCAGTGAGTGCAGCAATGCCCTCTTTTTAGACCTTACTCGGCGCTGGCTCAGCTCTGCTTCAGGAAAGCACCAAGTTTCGAAATCTCGGAATCATCAAGCTCCTCCCTCCCGAGGTCAGCACAAGCTGTCGGTATCTCAGGAGTGGTATCCTCTCGAAATGGTACACTTGGTGCATGAGGTCTCTCAAGCTGCAAGAAATCGGTAGCAACGATGTAGCGCACGCACTGAAGGATGGCCGAGTAGTATCGTTCCACATCTGGCTGCAGCAATCTCCGAAGCAGTCCGTCTCGTCGTTCGCGCGCTTCCGGGGCGCGGTAGGGCTCGACGTGGGTGGCTCGCACCTGACGCGTGCGAAGAGGCCCAAAGACGCCGCCCGCGGGACCCTCGCCAGGTCGACCAGCTCTGTTTGCCAGCGTCGAAGGCAACACCCACCAAGCAGTGGGCGTGATGTCAGAGGCCTGAGCCTGCGGCGGGCTGCCGATGTGCTCATACTGGCAGGCTGCGCCATGATAGCAAAAGCCTCGCTCAAAGAAGCGGCAAACTCCCAGCTTCCCTCTGCCACTGTCGAAAGCTTGGTAGCGTGCTTGGCCACTCGAGTTACCAAAGGAGGACTCCAATGGGACGCAGTTTGCTACAACGGATGGCAGAGGAAGTGAATGCGTTGGATGAGCATTGTCTTCGAGCTCTTCGTTCATGCCCATGCTCCAAGGCATTCGCTTGCCCTTTCCTTTCTCCTTTCCCTTGCTCTTACCTTTCTTCCCCTTTGACTTTCCATCCCCTTTAAAATTATAAGTGTAACCATAACTACTATAATCCTTCCCTCTGCCATCTTTGCCATCTTTCCCTTTGCTTTTGAACTTGCCTTTCTTCCCTTTGCCCTTGCCCTTGCCCTTCTCCATGCCGTGTTGGCTTCGGAGGAGCTTCTCCAGCATACTCACCTTCGGAGGATCTGCAAGTGCACCAGACAAGCGCCTCTTCTCCTCCAGCTCTATCTTTCTCTGTAAGTTGCCCTTGCTGGGGAAGTTCGCCTTCCGCATAGCTCTCCAAGCTGTCAGCTCTTCCGGCGAGTCTGTCACACTCGAGCCGTCTGCTGCCTTGACATGCTTGAGCTTGTGCACCGCCATGACATGCTCTGGACCAGAAAAATTACAACCTTCCTCGGGACAGGGGATATGTTCATCTGCAACATGGCTGTCATACTTCTCCTGATTCCAGAAGTCTTTGTTGCAAACATGACAAAACCACCGGCTCGGATTGAATGCTTTCTTGCGAGGCATGCTTTTTGAAAATCCTTTGCCGCTGTATCCTTGCGGGACCTGTGGAGGTGGAGGCAGATCCATCCATTGGTCGCCACCTTCATCCTCGGACTCTTGCGAGCTGCGTGAGCATGTCTCGTACCGATCATAGTGTCGACGATCTGGAACGTCCCAATAATCGTATCGTGCATCGTAACCATCCCCGTATTCCGAATGCCAGCTGTCCCACGAATCCGGTTTGGGTGCACGTCGGGGTGATGGTGCCCTCGGCGTCTTGGATTCCGGCACTGGCGGGGGCTCCGGCAGGTGTCTGGTGCTGCCAGAAGAGTCTTCATACCAGCGTCTTCCGCCAGGGACAGGTGGTGGGGCGGGAGGATCGTACGGGATGCGACTTTCGCGCTCCCTACTGTCGCTGCGGGAGTTGCGAGGCAGCGGTTGGTCCGCCCATGCTCGGGACGTGCCTTTCGCAGGCTCCTTTCTAAAGCTGACAGGGGCTGGCGGGGCTGGTGGGGCGGGAGGGGGTGGAGGTGGCGCCGGTGCCTGTACCGGTCGAGATGGGCCTCTGGGAGTTGGAACCGGTGGAGCTGGTGGAGGATCCGGTAATCTCTTGGAGGTCGGGAGGTTCTGCTTTTGGATTCGGCTCGTGGGTTTTGCGCTTCGAGGCTGCTGCGGCTGAGGCTGCGCCTCCGGTGCTTTCTGGTGGCTGCGACTTCTGGATGCGACGTCGTGCCGAGGTCTCTCGGTACTGTCGAATCCAGCCTCGGCCAAAAACTCCCTAACTTTGTCTAAGGTCGGTGAAGCTCCCGGTGCCCGGGAATGCGGCCTAGGCCTAGGCCTCTGAGCTGGAGCGGGAGCAGCTGGAGGAGGTGGAGGTGGCAAGTCACCGCGATACACCGGCCGCCGCCTTTGTGGTGAGCGGCTCCGCATCGGCGTCAAGCTATCCAGGCAAGCTGCTCCACTTCAAGAGCCCATGGCTTGACCACTCTGGCTTGATACATGGACATCTTCCATGCGACAGTCGCCCAGGGCTAATCTAACCAAAGGAGTGTTATCTTTCTGCTCTGAGGCTGCATGCTCAGCTTGAGTACGTTCATTTTCCTACCGTCTTGAACCGACTGGCGAGTGGGACACATGGCGTGCCTTTATGCGATCAGCCATCCAGGACACCGCCCAGGTAGAGACACGACAGCTGGAGTACAGGAGCCGGGGTTGCATCGAGGTGGGAGCACTCAACAAATTTTGCTGGAAGTGCTGCAAAGCGGAGTTGTTTTTTCCTCTACCGGTTGTCTCACGAGCCGAAAAGCAGTTGCTCTCATACTCTCGTTCAGCTTAATCGATGAGCACAAAGAGAGAGGCTCCAAGCTGAAGTGTCGATGTTCGCAAGAACCTTTCGCATGGTTTCGTTTACTGGCCAAGACAAGCCACCAGTGCTCAGCATCCTTCTGTTGCAGCACGAGTCTTATGTCTCCTTGTCTGTCTCCGCCCCTCCCCCTCAGTCTCTCGTGATGTCACTTGCCGATTTCCTCCCTTGCTCACTGACGGCATGTCTCTCCTTCCACTAGAGTCACTAGAGGTGCATAGAGGCGACTGGGCTGGAGCGAGCTGGCTCTTAAACAACTGATTACAAATGTCCAAGTCTTCCCGCATGGATGCCTTCATCACAGTCACAGACCAGACCTTACTGACGATGCGCGAGTTTCTCTCGGCGCCACAATGGACGTTGCTCCACCAATGAACTGCTCCAACTAATGAAGCACCACGGCTCATGCCTCGCTTTACCACGACTCCTGATTGAAAGAGGCAGTGCGATGCATTCTGCAAAGGCCCGCCTCCGAGGCGTCCGACTTCGGGCCGTGAACCGCTTGGCCGAATCGACTTTGGACCGGCGTACAACGGTGAGCACATCGGCCAGAACGCCTTCGAACTAGTCGCCTGTTGCCCAAATTTCAGCAACACTGCTCCGTGAAAACTGCGCTGCGCACGGATGCTGATTGACTGCGCCAGGTGGCCGCAATTTCGAAAAATCCTGTGGAACGCTCACTCAGGCCCACAGGTTCAAAATGCCTGAGGTTGAATTCAATGCTAGACAAACTAATTCAGCATTTCAGTCGCGAGTGCCGATAACCACGGAGCACTTCTTGCCAAGATCGCATGCCAGGCTCTGAAATGCCTTGTTGGTTTCCTGCCAGCTTGCACAACGGCAAGGGCAGTTCTTGCACACATGCACGAAAAGCCAGCTGCACTTGTAGCAGTGTGGTGAGACACTGGTGGATTCGATCCAAGTTCTGCATCATCCTCGAGCAGTGTCACCAGCTCGACAGGCCACCAAACACCACGAAGTTTGAAAGCATCTTCAACATCATTGGGGTTCTCGAAGCTGCGGCTGGAGACATGAACACTTCGAGGATGTTGCCATGCTCGCGCTTCACTGCAGGAACTGTGAACCGCTTCTCTCAGAGTCTCTGACCATGAGAGCCTGCAGTAACCTGGCACTTCCGGAGTTCACACATGTAGTACTCTGTTGCCTTCGCCTTAAACAGCACCTACAGCCAAAGCATGTGAGTGCAAAGGACGATTCGACTTCGTAGGTTGGAAGCAGGCACGAGTAGACGGGCTTAAAAGCATGAAGTGAGCCTGTGATATCCTGTGATGATGTCTCTGTAGTTCTTTCTCAGAGTACGGCGGCCAACGCATCGATGTATTTTCATCCCACCGTGGAATCGTGTGCGACGCTGGCAAAACTTGAACACAAGTGACTGTCCGCGTGCGCGAATTCTTTTAGATGTATCTTCGCGAGGCACTCCATTAACGCAAGTAGTGCGGAATCCGTTTCGGCACTGAGACTTGAACGAGTTGCTGCGCATCAGACGCTTATCTCAAAGCTGAGGCAGCAGCTCGAAGTAGGAAAAGCTTCCATCTTCTTCACCAAGCGATTCCTGGACTCTAACTTCAGGAACACCCAGCTTGCTTGAAGCCTACGGCACCCTGGGAATTAATTCTGCGACTGTACGTAGAGAATCGTAGAGATATGTAGAGATGTAGCTTCCGTGTCATCCCTTTGACTGGGCGAAGCACTTGGCAGAAGGCAGCCAAGCGACAGCCAGTCCGTCGATTTGAACATCGCTGAAGGTTCTACGCTGCTTCGCCAATGAGATGTCAATGCCTCGGAGTACCTGCAGATCTGCAGATTGGTTTTGGAAGTCTCCGCATCTGACTGCTTCGTTCACCCGGCCAGTCTCTCACTCTGGTTCCGTGATTTCTTTCGGAGGGCTTGAGCGCCCGCAGGTGCCGAACACTTCGGCTTGAACTGCGCGCGGTGCGCTCGTGAAAGGGGCAAGTCACGGACATCACACCTTTGCCGATCTACATCTGTCGCACCTGGCCTGATGCGCAGGTCTTCCGACCCACAAGCAACTCGACGTTGTCCCCGAAATAAAACAGAAGTCCCAGACACCCCGTGCATGACTACAGCCCTAATCTAAAGGACTATATATGCGTTGCAAAAAGGTGTGCTCACTGACATGGGGCAGGCGGGGAACGTGCAGTGCAAAGGACTTATGCTGCAGGCCGCTAAGAGCCCTTGCGGCAGCTGATGCTCATGATGCTTCGCGTTTATCGATGCTTGCTGGTACTTGTGCACGAACAGCCTTCTTCAATGCTTCGTCTTGGAGGCTTTTTGCTGCAATATTGCGACCAGCATCGCATGCGCCCACGAATACAATACCGATCAGTAGCACCAGCAGTAAAGCCTTCGTCGTTCTCCCAAACGAAACGAAACATTGAATACCACCCAGATACCGAGTGCCACCAGGTGGGGGAAAGGTGGGTGCTGCTCAAGTCACCCTCGACTCTTGGTGCCGTTCCGGGGTCCACGCCCTTTCCAGCACCAGCCCACCCAGCAAAGACAAGCACTTGTGATCTGACTAAGAGTTAACACATAAGTCGGACATCATGTTACGTTACGGTATAGACGGGGTGTTCTGCGGGGGTGCCACCTCCACCACCACCACCGCCGCCGAAGATGCAGCCGCAGATTGCAGTGTCGCAGGCCCTGCCTCTGCAAATGCGCCAGAGCTTATTCGGCCCGTGAGCGCCACATCCGCCTGAAAATAGCGCACAACTGTTGTTGCTCAGACCGTTTACACTCCATCACTGCACAATCACCTATCAAGTCCTTTGATTATGAGCGGAAACATGGGACCAAGAGTGGCCCCCCGCTGTAATTGCCAGTTTGGATGGGACGGGAAGGTGGCTTCTTGGCGGCACCTGGTCGCAAAGCCAGCATGTCGCCCAGGGGACACGATCTCTAAGGTGAGGAACAGGATTGAAGCTTTGAAGTGGAGGAATGTCATCTGCAAGCAAAACTTGTTCGCAAGTTTTGTTGCAGCACTGTGAGGGAAGTGAGCAAAGTGGTCGAAAGTGCGACAGCCAAGGGCTGGCCAGCCTCTCTTTGTCATCCTTGGCTCAAGTTGTTTTCATGATAAATCACCTCGGCCTTTGGCAACGGTGGTCACTGCGTAGATGTGCGGCAAGTGTGAAGGACACGCCAACAGGGTTTAAAGGCGTGCATCAAGATTTGCACATAGGTAAAGTCGTGCACACCAGCTTCTGTTGCATAGCATGCATTTGCCAAACCTCTGACAGGGCACAACAAAATCAACCTGCTGCAAGCCTGCACTTGCTTCCTGGTCGGGTTTGTGCTGTCCGCCGTAAGGAAAACACAAGAACCGCATCAGCCGTTTCCCGCAATCCGGCTCCCACTGGGGCACAGCAGAGTTGACGCGTTTCCATGTCAAGGGTGTCGACAACCCTGGCCTCGTGGCATCCACAACAAACTGCGTGTCTGTGCCGGTACCTTTCGCAACGGCATTCTTCGTCAGGGTAGCTTCCGAGGGAGGCAATTACTGGATAAGCATGGCATGCAAAATGCGAGCAATGCGGAAAGGGGCACAAAAAACTCAGGATGTGCTCGCACATGAATTCCTCAGCCGCGTCGAAGTCCTGCTTGAAGACAGATGCTCGAAGAAGACCAATCGCAAAATTCTCGCAGCTATGACATGGCAGACTAAAACACAGCTCTCATCCAACAGTGCTGGTGGCTGGTTCTTGGATGCAGTGTTCTAGGAATGCCACAGCGACGGCAGTCGGGACGGCAAGCTCCCGTTGCTTTTCATGCCGTATGGTGGCCGCGACTTTATGTTCAAAGCGTCGGCAGGCATGAGAAGTACGAAGGAGTGCAAGTCAGGACACAAACAGCGGCAAAGAGGCTGCCTGGCCAGATGGCCTCTCCACGATGAAAGCCTAAGCCGAGGATTCCTAAGGACTGTCCTAGACGGTGGGGTAAGAATGCAGCAGCTTCGCGACGGATCCGAGCCGCTAGCCTCAAGGAAGCTGAACCAGTTGACCTCCGTCAATGTCTGCTTCACCAAGGCTACCGGCTAGGGGAGGCGGAATCTGCCCTTCAGGTAGCATCTACTTATTGAGTCTATGCCTTTTGCCCTTGTTCCCTTGCACCTGTTCTTGCTGGCTTGCAAGCGGCTTGTATCTCGTAAACTTTAGCGTACACTTTTGCACTTGTTCATAACCTAGACTTCTCATCGTTTGCCGGCATCGCAAGGCTTTGCGAGCAATCTTCGATTCTTCCGTGTGCCGAGCGATTCGTGGCATGTTTCAGGGCAGAAACGGAGTCCGGAGAGCTTCCGATTTGGGGAGACTTCCGAGTGGTTTCGGCTTATGGGAGCTTTCACAGGAACGCCGGTGGCCGGTGTGTTCGGGTGTGTTCAGAATCCGCCGGACTGGATTTTGGATTCTGTATGTAGGCGCATGATCCGGCTTCTCGCTCTGGATTTCTGAACTCAAGCTAGGAGGTCTCACTGGGTTGCTATCACTGAACCGGTATTGCCTGGTAGCACACCAGGACGGAAATC